TGCCGGTACTGGTTTAGAAAAATTTCCTATTGAAGTGCTGAGCTCATGGGCCACAGAGAAACGTGGTTTTTGGGCTGGAAGAAACCCAGTAAAGTCCTTTTACCAGGGAGAAAAGCAGCCAGGGCTCCCCAAAGTTGAGTGACTTGTGCTTAGGCCCACTTAGCTAGTGACTGACCCAGCACCAGACCCCGGGGCTCCCGGCCCACTGGCCAGGGCTCTTTCTCTTCTGCCAGGAGACCTCCCTGGTTTAATATGTGTAAACAGAAATCAATATTTGTCACTTAACTCCATTTGCTCTCTGCCATACAGTTTTGGAATGACTGACGTAAGTGCCAGTCTGCCCAGAAAAGAACTTTGACAACAGAGAGACTGAGGTCAATTATATTCAGATGACAAAAGGATTCATTCCATTAGCTGCTTGAGAGAGGTTGGAGGAGGCGGGGCTTCAACCTGGAGTCCTGGAAACCGCTGCTGGTTGAGAGTGATCAGAACACAGGAGCATCTTGGAAATTGTGGGGGGAAGTTTTGTTCGGTTTACAAAATTGATTGACATGGAGCTTTTTAAGAATGAACCTCCTGAATAAAGTGAATTACAGTGTACTTCTCAAAAGAAATACCAGAGCGTGGAAGGAAAAAGGCTTCTTTGTTTCCCTGACCCGGGCCAGGGGCTACCTGGGGCTTTGTGGTTGGTGATGGGTCTGCTGAGAAATTAGGGTAATATCTGGAACTGATCAATTCACAACTCTTTTCCTTCCCTAGCTGCCCTCTGGTGGAAGCAAAGATAAGTGGTGAATTGGCCAAAATGTATGTAGCCCAGGGTTGTGGAGACAGCAGCCAGGACACCTGTGTCCAACCCACTGGGTAGGGACGGAGCCTGTGATTTTACTGATGGAGGGAAGTCCTTGTGAACAAACCTTCTCTGTAACTTAGGGTCTTAGAGAGTCACACTGGGTGTCAGAGGCGGGATAGGAACCCAGGTCATCCAGATGCCCAGGCCAGGTCTCTGCAGCTTCTGCCCATTCCTAGATCACTGGCACGGCCAGGGTAGTGAAAAATAACATGGCGCTTCTGCTGGGAAGTTGTATTTTCACGCTCAGTAATCTGTCTCTAGGTAGCTTTGTTAGGGGCCTGAAGTACAGAGGAAAATCGGGCCACTGGACATTCCAGTTTCAGGATGCTGTTGCCCAGGTATATTCATTTCCAGTGAAATCAGCGATCTGATTGACAGCACTGAGACACTGTGCATTTCTTAATTCTCCCTGAAGCTTTTGAGCTTATCCAAAGCTGCCTGTCTCCCCTATGAACTTTCTGAGGACGGTCAGCACGGGCGCTGCTGTGACCTTTGTGTTTTTACTTTATGCTTACCCCCTCTGTTATGTGAGTCAGATCTCAGAAACCCCATTTCTTTTTGGCATTGCCACCAGATGGCAGGCAGGGCAAAGAAAGAAAAAGAAATTTCCAATTCCTTAGTTAAAATGGGGAGATTCTGCCTGTGAATACTTAAAAAGAGGTGGTTTTGTTCCTAGGTCAGCATTATATTCACAAGCCGTCCCCTCCATGCTTAACCCTCCAGAGGCCGTCATGTTCACTCAGTCAGTCAACAGGCGTTTATCTTTGTGCTGCAGATACAGACAGATGAAACATATTTGCAGTTACGTATGCTGCATATATATATATCTGCATATAAATTTATATTTATATGTATATGTGTGTATACATCCATATATATACCCATCCATCCATCCATCCATCCATCCATCCATACATACGTACATATATATGGACTTGTTGTGCCCCAGACCCGTGTAATGTAAGCACTTTGTGAACAATGATGTACTTGTATCCCCAGTGCCTAGCACAGGCCTGGCAGATAGGTAAGTCCTTAACAGATGCTCATGGATTAATTGAAACAGGCCCTGTTTGAATACACTGAATTCACGGCCCACGGAAGCCAGTGACTGTTAAAAGCTCCTGTTTTCCACTCGACTCTTTGAGAGAGCTGTCACAATCAGCACCCTCCTCTCCCCTCACTCTCTTCTTAATCTCTACACTTTGGCTTCCAGTCTCATTCAACTGAAACTCTTCTCTCCCAAGTTAGAAATGATCTCTGAGCTGGGCAGTCTAATGACCTTTCCTTAATCCCCGTCTTCCTTGACCCCTCTGCAGCCTCTGGCACCGTCCACCACCCTGTTCTCTTCTCATTCTCCTCTCCCTGTCTGACGGCCCTTCTCAGATGCCTTTACTGGACCTTCAGCCAGGCCAGACGCAGCCACTGGGAGTGCTGTTCAGGATCCGGTCCTGGGCCTTTTCTCTTCCCCCTCTATGCTTCCTTGCTTCCTGACCTTACCCACTCCCATGGGTTGAGTCGTCATCTGGATAAAGAGAGTTCCCAGGTTGGCAGACCTAGCCCGAGGCTCTTTCCTGAGCTCCGACGTCTCTCATTGTATCTCTCCACTTCTCATCCAGAGCACAGCTGTCGTTGTGGCTCTGCAGGTCTGAAACCTCAGAGTTGTCCTTGGCTGCTCAGTCTCACGCACCCCGAAGATGCTGATATTTCTGTCACCGCGCACCTGGCCGCCCCCACACAGGCCCCGTTCCTGCTCCTTGGGATCACTGCGCTTACTGTTTAGTTGGGCTCCTTGCTTGAGGCCTCTCCCCTTCCAATCCATCCTCAACTCAGCCGCTAAAGTGATTTTCTTTAAGTGCGGGTCTCTCTCCCTCCTCAGTGAACTTCTGTGGCTCTCTGACACCTCCTGGGTCAAAAACTAAATCCCTGTGGCATTTACAACCCTCTCTCACCAGTTGGCCCCTTCCTCCCTTTCCAGGCTTCTTACACTTGCACCAGCTCCTCCTTACTCTGTCTTCTCCCGGGCTGTCGCTCGCCCTCCTCACCTCTGCCTCTTTCATCTCTGCTGTCCATCAGGACCCAGCTCTGATCCTGCCTCCTCTTCCTGAATCGCCTCATCCCCCCCACCCCCTTCTCTCTCCTATTTTACACACTTAGGCATTCTCATTCATTGTCTAATTATTGTGTGGCTCTCATCCCCCTCCTGAACTTGTGGCATTTCTTGGTTTCCCTCCAACGTGGCAGCCACAGTGGCAGTGGGAGGGAGGTCCTGGGATGAGACCACAGGACTTCTGCTCCCCCGGTGTCTCCAGAAGGAAGACACAACCTCTCTACGCGGCAAGTGAGGGCTGCTGCCACAGGCAGATTTGGATCCTTTAAAATGGCCTTGCCACATTGGCTTTTGAATGATAAAGCGGCTGGTCCCATAGAGTCTACAGTCAACACTATCTCCGGTCACCTACTCTGTGTATGAACCTCTTTCTGTGGGGCATGCCAAGTGAACAGCAGAAGTCTCATTCCCACTTCCCTCTCCTGCCCCTTTTGGCCTGGGAGGAGGCTCCAGGAACCACCCGCACGTTCCTTTGTTCGGGTCATTGTGAGGCCCGATGTCCAGAGCCGCCTTTCTTGCTGCCTGCCCACTGTCACAGCTCTCTCTGGAAGCCACAGTGGGCTCCCCCAGAGACTGGAACACGCTACATTGTAAACCAAAGGAGCTGGGCCTGCACGTCCGTTGGGTGGGTTTAATGAAGCATGGTGGGCTTTTTCATTCAGTCTGGGGCGAGGAGGTGATTGTCACTGGGGAAATGATGAGGTTCTAGTCATTCCGTGCGGCACTTCCCCCATTCCAGTCTTTCTGGTATCAGACGCGAAAATGTTTTCAATGAATATTTGTATTTTGGTGCCATCTTGTGGCTGCACGTGGTAGTGCCTTCAGAGCAATTGAAGATGTTCATCAATCCAGGTTTGAGAAATGGTAGCAGATTTTCTGTCATACAAGGAATTCTCCCTTTAGTGCAGAGGGCGTAAGAGGGAGGGAAGCTAAGTCTCTTTTGGAGTAGATTTCTACTGGTTCCATCTTGGTCTCCTATGTTGATTGTCTCCCCAACATCCCAACCTCAAGAAGAACCTTAAAAAGATAAAAGATGGTGATGGTGATGATGGTGATGATGATGGTGATGGTGATGGTGATGGTGGTGGTGATGGTGGTGATGGTGATGATGGTGATGATGGTGGTGATGGTGATGATGGTGGTGATGATGGTGATGATGGTGATGGTGATGATGGTGATGGTGATGGTGATGATGGTGATGATGATGGTGTTGGTGATGGTGATGATGGTGATGGTGATGGTGGTGATGGTGATGATGGTGGTGATGGTGATGATGATGGTGATGATGATGGTGGTGATGATGATGGTGGTGGTGATGATGGTGACGATGGTGATGATGGCTAGCTTTGCCACAGCACTTTAAGGCTTGAAAAGTGCTTTACAAATGTTATTTCAACTTCACAACACCCCTGAGATGCAGGTGCTATTATTAGCCCCCGTTTACATATGAGGAAACTGAAGCAAACTGGTTCAGTGACTTGCCCAAGGTCACATGCTTAGTAAGAGTCTGAGGCCAAATTGGAATTCAGGTCTTCCTGCCTCTAGATCTAGCACTCTATCTACTGTGCCACCTGGTGTCTTTATGGGTCAGAAGTGTGGAAGAAAGTTCCTCATGTGGTTAGTGGGATTTTTGTTTTATTTTTGTAGCCATACAATGTATTTTTGGTCCAAACCTGTGACTTTGTCATTGTGAGGAGCTAACTCCCCATGTTAAAAGTCTATTCTGCTGATAGTGACCCACTTATGAACTTGGTCTGGGGCCCCAGAGGAGATGAGGAGGATCACAGACTAAATGTCAAAAGGGACCTTAGAATCATTTAGGCTGTGAGCCCCTTCTTGTTTTTAACAGATGAGGAGACGGTGTCATTGAGAGGCTCTGACCTGGGCTGTTAGTTAGTGTGCCCTAAGGGCACCACTTGAACCCAGGTCTTCTGACTCTGCTCTGCCATGCTTTTTGTCCACAAGCATGCCAACCCGAGCAGTCTACCATTTGACTTGGCCTTCATGCCTCATGTTCCTCATTTTTGTGACATTTTTCTATAGTTGGTGTTGTTTGAGCGATCTTGGATGAGCAGATGGAAATCTTCTGTCTTACATGAAGGGGAAGGAAACATAAGAAACGTGAAATGGAAGGGAAATTTAATCGCCTGGGCCAATAATATGGTAAGTATCATGCCCGGTCTACTGTAAGAACAATGTAGTTATGTTCCCATTGTATGGAATAGAAAAGAGGCGCCTGGCTTCTGAAGACACAGAAACAGACCTCCAAATGACACGTCAGCCCCATGTCACCCCTGAACCCATCTTGGGAAGGATCCTGAGGTGAAATCGAAAGGTGGCCTGAGGAATGTCAGCCAAGCATTTATCAAGGAGACTGGGCAATAAACATTTGCCCACTAGCCTGAGGTGGGCAACCCCAGGGGCACAGACTAGGACGGGGCCCTAAGCAGAACAGGGCGGCAGGTGTTCCCATGGAGCCGCTACTGGGGGCGTGTTGTGGGACAGAAGGTCAGTTTGCTGTTTTGTCTACACATTTTCATGTTTATTTATCGTAAAATGTGCCCAGAGGCAGATTTTGGTTGTTTTCTGTAGTAGAGGCCTGGTTACTCCTTCAGCCTTCAGCCTTAAGCCCTGCTGTGGTGCTGACTAGCCCGAGTCCTCAGCCCAGGCCATCACTGCCTTTTGCTTCCTGGACCTCAGCCCAGGCCATCACTCCCCTTTGCCTCCTGGACCAGATACAAAGAGATAAGAGCCTTTTTAGCCTTTGACAGGCTTCTTTCTTACCTGCTTCCTTGCAATTTCCTGCTTCTGATAGAGGCTGTTTTCTGCCATTGCTGTTTGTACTCCGTTGTAAGCTGAAGGGTTTTTGTTCATTTTGTTTTCTTTTAAGAATGCAAACTGCCTATTTCTGGGAGAAAAATAGGTTTGGGGCATTATCTGGCCACCTCTCATCTGAGAAGTACAGAGGCTGATGTCTCCTCCCCCTGCCCTGTCCCTGTTGTCCCACTTTCATTTGTTACAGGAATCATTCTATCTGTGTGATCCCACTGATATAATTTTCTTTTCTGGGAAGAGAAAGATCAGATAAAAGAAAAAAAATCCTGTGTGAAGATGTGCCCAGACCGACAAGCATCATCTTCCCTTTGTATCCCCAAAGCTGACTTTTAGTAACGGGGAAGGGGAAGTACTAATTAGGGGCCTTTGATTGTCCTGGAATGAAAAGTGTGCCATGGGGGTAGTGCATGTGTGGGGCATGTCTGAGGAGAGTGGGGCTCACATTATGGGAGCAGATAAACGGGGACATTGGCAGAGCTCGGGCCGGCTTGCTGAATCCGGGAGACACCTGAGGCCTAGGCAGGAAGGCCTGAGAGCAGACGATCCCAACTCGAATCTGGGTCCAGCACAAAGCACAAAGTGTCTGTGCCCTTTTCTGGGAATCGTCCCAGCGTGGTGGCGTCCTCCCCTTGCCTGTTCAATTAGTTGCTTCCTACAGCTTAGACACCGTCCACAAGCTCCTGGGCTCGGTAGGCCAACCAGTCCTTATTTCTGAGACTGCAGCGTTATATGGGTCCTCCACAGCCATGGGCCCGGGGCAGGTGGGTGGTGCTGAACAGTGGCTCTTTTTATTTTCCAGGGTGTAAAGATCCTTGACATCGTATCCAAGCAGAGAATCACCAACGTGCCCCGAGATGACATCAGCCTTCGCCCTGATATGTATCCTTGTAGCCTCTGCTGGAAGGATCATGTCACTCTTATCATTGGCTGGGGCACCTCGGTCAAGGTACGGAATTCACCTTTGCCCTGGTGTTGGGGATGCTCCAGGAAAGGGCCCTCGGAGGCAGACGGACCCGCTGGAGCTAGAGGGTGCGTGGCTTCTGAAAGAACAACTTCAGCCGCGTGATATGGTAGACTGGCCTTGGCAACGAGACATCTGTCCAGGGCTCGGTGTCCTACGTGCACAGGGCAGCACAGGTTGGGTGTGTTTGCTTTACCGTACCTTTCAGTGGTAAGAGAGTTTTTAAAATCTTAAATTGATACTGCTTTTCCTTTCTCCTCTCCACTTCTGCCTCCCTTCTCTTTCTCTCTTGGTTCATCAGAGTTCTTGCGGCCAGAGTTAGAAATGATGAAAATCACACCACTGCCCTTTCTGCGTGTGTTGTTAGTAGCTTTGATAAAGGTCTGAGGAAGCAGAAGGTGGAGGCTAATGGCCGAAATGAAGTTTGAGAATATTGGAGTAGTCAGCTCTCATTTGCATGTGAGTCACATAGGGCCATCAGGTCACATCTGTCAGCTCCCTGACCCGCCTGAAAGTCATCGTAGACGAAGGCAGCAAGGAGATCTCGGGATGAGCGGAGTCATTGAGGTTTAGAGCTCCCAGGGACCCTAGAGATCTTCGAGCCTGAGGCCCGCATTTCACAGGATCCTCGAAGGGTGAAGTGCCTCGACCAGGGCTGTAACCCATAGGGAGACCGTTAATTACCAGGAAAACAAGACATCTAATGTTCCATGGACGGAGTAGCTCCTGTGTGGTTTCATCTGCTTTGGAAAAGAAGAATAATGCAGAACACATTCTAATGGGTGTGATTACTGAGAAGCACCAGGGTATTCTAGGGCAGGGCTGGGTTTATATTAGATTCTTATATTTGGTTTACTGATCGTTGGGGTATGAGGCTATTATTTGAAAGTTAGTGAGTTAGTGAAGGGAGGCATGAAGCTAATGGGCCAAGGAGAAGAGGTGAACGGTATGGAACGGTGTGGAGACGTGTGTGTGTGTGTGTGTGTGTGTGTGTGTGTGTGTGTACACAGGAACATGTACACACACACACACATACACACATACACACACATGTCCTGCTTTCCGTAAGGGACCTATAGATTTTTACAAGTGTGTTTTGGTTTTCCTCTCTGGTGGGTGACAGAGTGGATTTGTCCTCAGAGATAGCAGGTCTGTGGTTCCTAGAAGACGCTCCCTGGGGACTGGCCATGTGCCATTCTCCCACTCTGCAGAAGGGCTGGAGCGTGAGGATGGCTGTCTACACGGAGCTGGGAGGGAGAAGACACAGCCTTGAGAAACTGGCTCCCTTCTCCCCAGGCTCCCGGCCTATACACACACACACAGATGAAGACGAATCCAGGAACAGGCTCCACGCGGCTCGCCAGCCGTGCTCTTTCCTGGTGGCGGTCGAGGCCTCTCTTCACAAAGGGCAGTCACTCACTGAAGGTCACAGAGGCTGACCTTTAATGGCACATGCAGTACCCAGGCCTCCTGTCCCCCCCTGTCAGGCCCACGCTTTCTTTGAGGGTGGTAGGATGGGCGTGAGCAGAAGTACTCATATAAAAAGCTTTAGAAACGAAGCAAAGTTGACCGAAACGGCTGGTCAGTCTACGTGTCTGTTAGTTCTTTTGAGGGACTCCGGTTGTCATAAATGCGAGTTCTTTAACTACAGCGTCGATTTTTGGAGATTGTCTCCTCGCAGCCATAAGACATTTGAACGTTGTCTGTTCATGGGAGTAGGCCCCTCGGTCTAGAGCCGGATGGGGCCTCCGAGGCCATCTTGACCACCCAAGCCCCTCATGTTACAGGTGAGGAGGCTGAGTCCTGGGGAGGTGAGGTGCTTTGCCCATGATCTCACAGGTCCTGTCGGAGATAGGCTTTGATTCCAGGTCTCCTGATGGCCCTGAAGGACTTTCCATTTCTCCCTTTCTCCTTTCTTTCATGTCGTTCCTCCAGTATTCAGAATGTTTGCATGCCCGTAGGCACAGCATCCAGAGCTATCCTCTCAGTCCACTTCCACGCCTTGTACCCTGCCTGATTGTTCTCATCGTCGCATTAAGAGCTCTGAGTTCCTGAGACCCTTCAGTGGGAGTGAGCTATAGATGGAGAGGTGTTCACACAGGGAGAGCAGGGAAGGAGAAAAAGGCCCTGATGGAAGCCATGGAGGCAGGGAGGAGATCTGGCTGGGGCCTGCCAGGTCTGCTTAGCTCAGCTGGTCAAGGCCGGACACTCACAAGGGTTGAGGTCAGGGGCCCAGACCCCCTCTGGGCTAGCTGGTTTCAGCTGTGCTCTCTGACCACACAGCGTGACTCTTCCTGCGGCTACCTCTCCTGTAAGTGTGCCCCGTCTGTCTGGGTTTGAGTGTGGTTGGGATCAGAGTCCTGACCGCTACGGGATAAACAACTCCTTGTGTGTAGCAGATGAAATGGATGTGGATGAAGGCCTTCCGACCAAGGGATAGTCTTTATGTGAGTGAGTGAGGGCAGCTCAGAACTCACTAATGGAGTCCTCAGTAGTAAAATGGTTTCAGTGTTTAAAATTGAATGACAAACCCTGTAAACTTTCGTTACCGGAGAACTCTACAGACTTCTCTGTAGATGTACTCTCCTTGGGTAATCCAGTTTTGCAGAACAATTACATTCACAATATGTAAGTCACCAGTCCTGCTTTGAGCCCTCCCCAGACTGAGCTCGGAGGGGTTTCACATGGAAGCCTCTGCCAGGCTTGACCAGGCCATTTCAAAAGGAGGCCCTGGAATGGACCAGTGTTCCAGGAGTGGTGGTCATCAGAAGTCACACAAGATGATAGGATAAGTCATCTGCTCTCTGTAACTGTTCTTATGTCTGTCCTCATGTCATTTACCTGCTTTCCTGTGGAGCTGCCTCTTAAATCAGATTGGCAATTCTCTGCTGCCCTTGCTGCCGAGTTAGGTTGAGCTCTGTAGACTACTTGGGCTCCTTGGTCAGGGACGTCTCCGGCAGATGACAATGACTGCGATGGCCTCTGCATTTCTTTTCCAGATCTGCTCGGTGAAGGAACGGCATGCCAGTGAAATACGGGACTTACCGAACCGCTACGTTGAAATAGGTAGGATTCTGCCCATCGTCTCTACGAGTGAAACATTGTGAAAGGATGGGCATTTTGTTAGAGGCCGATCGCCCTGATGCCCTGTGGCCCTGCAGTTTCCTTCATCTGGTGCCTTGTAAACAGCAGGGTGTGATATCCAAGACCAGGAAAGTGTCCTTTGTCTCAAAGTTTACAAAACTTAGGTTTCCACATTTCCTGAATGTATTTCCTTTCTTTTTTTTTTTTTTTGTATTAGGCAATTGGGGTTAAGTGACTTGCCCAGGGTCACAGAGCTAGTATGTGTGAAGTGTTTGGTCTGAGGCTGGATTTGAACTCAGGTCCTCCTGACTTCAGGGCTGGTGCTCTATCCACTGCGCCACCTAGCTGCCCCTAAATTTCCTTTTTTTCTGTGCTTATTTAATAGCTAGCCCTCCTCTGCATGATGAATTTGGTTCGCTGTGGTTTTTACTCCATTTTAACATGTTGGTAATCTAGCCTGGGTGACTAAGAGGATGGTGACGGCTTCAGCAGTAATAGGGAAATTAGGAAAAGGGGAGAGTTTGGGGGAAGGATATTGGGTTCAGTGTTGGACATGTGTTTATTGGATTGGATGTTTTACTGTAAGAAGTGATGAAGGGCGGGGTTTCAGAGAAACTACTGGAAGATTCACATGAACTGATGCAGACTGAAGTGAGCAGAACCAGGGGAATGATTTAATACGGAAGACCATATCGTAAAGACATACAGCTCTGAAAGACTTAGGAGCTCTGATTCACACGATGCATTGCCAGCCCCGATTCCAGAGAGCTCGTGATGAAACCTCCTGCCTGCCTCTGGACGGAGGTGATACACTCAGAGTGCAGACTGAAGCGTCGTGGGAGGGAGGGGCTGTGTGGATGGGGCCGTGCAGGAATTGGTTTTACTCAGCGACGTGTTTGTCGAGAGTTTTGTTTTTCTCGCTTTCTCAACGGGAGGGGAAGGTGGGAGGAAGAGAATGCAAATCTGAAGAAAAATGAATTTTAAACAAAATAACTCTGTGTCAAATCCGGCTTCAGACACATAACACTCACTAGCTGTGTGACCCTGGGCATGTCACCTTACGCCATTGCCTAGCCAAAAAAAAAAATGGTTTAAAAAAAATAACTCTATGACAACCAGTTCTCGATGTTCAATAGGCAGTTGGAGAAGCCAGTCTGGAGGTTGGGAGAATGGCTGGGGCTGGACAAATAGATCTGAAAATCTTCATCACAGATGATAATCAAATCCATGGGAGCTGGTGAGTCAAACAGCATAGAGGGACACGGCCGTGACAAAGCCTTGGGGTAGCTCCACGGTTGGTCCGTCACCTGGATGAAGATCCAGCGAAGGAGGCTGAGAAGGACCCATCAGACAGGTGGGGGGAGAACCAGGAGAGAGGAGTGGGTGCTCAAAGTGCCACGGGCTGCAGAGAGGTCAGAAGGGAAGGGGATTGAGAAGAGACCACTAGATTGGGCAACTTAAGGATCATTGAATACTTTGAATGGAGCGGTCTCTGTTGATTGACGAGGTTGGAAGCCAGACTATGGAGAGGTAAGAGAACGAGAGGGAAGGAAGTTTAGGCATCAATAGGAGACATGGGAGTTTTACTGCAGGAGGGACGGGGATGTTAGATGAGAGCCGGCGGGGATGGACGGACACAGAACGAGGCTTTTGAGGTTGGGGAGACGTAGACGTGTTCATCAGCTGTAGGAAAGCAGACAGTAGACAGAGATGAGAGATTCATGGGGGTGGGCAGGGGAATGCTAGAGGGCGAATTCCGGTGGAGAAGGGGATCACTTGTGCTTGGAGAAGGTTTGCCTTGGCCAGGAGAAGAGGCAGGTGAACTTCATGAGAAACACAGGTGAAGAAGGAAGGCGTCTGGGTGACATGAGAGGAGGAATAGGAGAGAAGAGGGAGCCTTCCGTCAGTGAGCTCCGTGTTTTCAGTGCAACGAAACAAGGTTCTAGCTGAGAGGGTGAGGGTAGAGGGGGCTGTGGGGTGTTTGAAGAGGGATGCAGAGGCTTGGAAAAAGCTGTTGTAGCAGATAGGGTGGCATGAAAGGATTGCCTTGCTGTAGTGAGGGCCCAGCGGGGAGTATGTAACAAACTTGTGGTGAACACAGTGCCCATGGTTTCATGGTGTTCCCCAGCTTCAGTCAGCCGGGTGGACGTGGGAGTGGGAGGCAGGTGTCATTCAGGGTTGGGATGTGCCAGGGCAAGGTCTTCATTAGGGTAAAGGAGCAGGGGACTTGAGAGAAGAGGTTAGTGCAGATGTGAACTGCCCCGCCAAAGGGCCAGGCTGGGGAGGGAAGAAGCCGAGCCAGTGCAGGGGTGCTAGTCTAGGAGAGAACCAGGGGTCCAGAGATTGCAGGTCCAGGTGAGGACCAAGCACAGAGCTTGGAGGTGCAAGAACCAAATATGAGAAGGAATTTCAGAGTTTGGGAACTTGTGGGAGCGATGGCCAGATGGAGGGTGGAGTCATTTCAGAGTTTCAGGACACCAGACAGTAGACCTGCCACAGGTGAATGGCATTTGCCCCCTTGCCTCAAAGAGAAAGGGGAAGAAGCATTTATTAAGGTCCTACTATGTGCCAGGCACTACTGTACCAAGTGCTTTACAAAGCTCTCCTTCGACGGTGAAGGCTAGAGCCCAGCCGGACAGAGTGACACTTCTCCTCTTCCCTAGAGGCAGGAGGCCTGGCGTGATGGACTCTTCTGGTCTAAGGCTTTTGTTAATTTTCTGCAGCTGAAAGAAATCTTTCTAAACTATATGACATACTTCTCTGCCTTAGTGACCGGTTAAGGAGAGCTTCCTGAATAGTTCCATCCTTTTAAATGTTCCTTTTTGCACCTGCAGTAATGCCGAGAGGCCCTTGGGGGCTATTGAAAGCCTTTCCTGGTTAGAAGGGCCCTCCGCAGCATACCTGAGAAATGGGCATCGAAGCTTTGCCTGGACTCCGGCGCCCTCCCAGAGCCCCCTCGGACCTCAGGGGCTTTTCGTCATGGTTCCTCTTTCTCCTCCCCTGGGATTATCTCTGTCCTCAGCCATCACTCCCTCTCCTGTGTGTACGACTGTCCCCTCCCCTGCCGCCATTTGTATCTGTCAGGTAACTGAAGGAATATATGAAGGGGAGAAATATAGACTAAGGGCAGAATGGTGGTTTGGAGCCGACTTGGGGTGGGCCTTCGATGCCAACCGTGCCCGAGGGGCTTTGGGGAACTGCTCGGATGTCTGAGCCAGGGCCTAACAAAGTCAACAAACATGAATGTCAGTATACAAAAAAGAACAGGAAAAGAGGCTTCTAGGTGGAACTGAATCTACGCCCCTGTTCTTACATATGTGTCCGTGGGAATAAATGTTTATATTATGCATAGATTGTGAGTGCATGCATGTGTGTAGGCATTTCTGTGTGCTGCATGTGTATGTGTACGCACATGTGTATTATATGTCTATGCATGTATATATATAGAGTGATAGGGGCAGGAGGGGGGACACAAAGCTGAGCCTGAGCTGATAGAGACACCTGGGCATGGGAGGAGTGGTTGGCTTCTCAAAGGAGAGGTGCCACATCTTTATCATATAGCAGAAAGAATAGAAAGTAACATGGGGGGTGGGGTGGATGGAGTCGGGGAGACAAAGAAATGGCCTCAGTTGTTTTGTTTTGGCCAATGAGGAGGAGCTGTACTGAGAGAGGAGTTGGTGTTTCAGGGCTCGAAGATGGCCGGGCAGGGTTAGGAAAGTTCCTTCGAGGACAAGATAGTGATGCAATCCCGAAAGAATAAAAAGATTTCTGCGGAGCAGTAAGGAAGGCCCACTTGAGCTTGGGGACCAAGCTTGTAGGGGACCCAGGCAGCCCAATCCTCTGGCTTCTTCTATCAGTCTGGTAACCTCGAAGCAGGAGAGATGAAGACAGATGACAGCCTACCCCAGAATTGGGTTCTGGCCAGACCTGAGTAGCCCTGAGACAGGAGGCAGAGATCCAAGGGTGGTGGAGAATGTGTAGTTAAACTGGTCCTCCATAGGGTGAGGATGGTGGAGGGAGGCCAGAGATATCTGTTGCTTGCTACCAGGAGAACAGGAAGGTGTATAATGACAGGAGTTTCCAATGGGGATAAATAGGTTTGGGAAGAGTGAGGCAGAGGGAGACGGGCTGTGATTAGAGAGGGAAATTTCAGGGTTCACAGTCATAGAGGCAGCAGATTTGGGCTGAGGGGAGCAGAGAATGGGCAGTGGTGATGTGCATGGTGAGCCCATGTTGAGCTGGGGTTGATGGTGGTCTTGGGAATGGGCATTGGTGACGTCCGTGTTGAGCCCGTGTTGAGCTGGGCTTGATGGTGGTCTTGGGAATGGGCAGTGGTGACGTCCGTGTTGAGCCCATGTTGAGCTGGGCTTGATGGTGGTCTTGGGAATGGGAAGTGGATGAAGGGGATGGTCATAAAGGTGAGGAGGTTGGTGAAATGGGTGGGCAGTATACTGAAGGTGGACATCAGCAGGTCCATTGAAGATCCCAGTGCATGAGGGCTAGCATGGGGATGGAGAAGACTGAGCCGCCAGGGGTGGCTGGACCACATCAAATAGACAGGCAGAGGATGCCTCAGGTTGGAGAAGCTGCTGAGTACCATCAGCAAAGGATGGCTCTGCTTTGTCTCCTTCTGGCCCAACATCGTCGGGACGACGCATTAAGGCATCCTCAGGACTGCATGGGTACCCTGGGATGCTGTGTCTTCCAGAGGGAGCCAGGATTTCCTGGATGTAACAAGGTGACAATGGGTAAGAGGAAGAAGGCTCGGGTAAAATGAAAGTATAAACCTGGCCAGGAAGGTTGAAGGGTCTAGGGGTACCACTCCTGCCCACTTTCCCCACTGTCCTCCCTTCCCCATCCTGGACCCCCTTTGAAAAGAAAGTCAGGACAAACTTTTCCACATCATGATTCACCCTTCCTTTCTCCTTCTGTGAAAGTACCAGCGCCTGCATTGGCCTTCTAGAAGCTTCCACAGCTCTAAT